ATTACTCGGAGAAAAATTTCCCCAGTGCTACATTATCCACCGAAATCCCAACATGAACTAACCTCGGCTTGAACGCGGGCCGCCCCAGTAGGAAGCTGGCGGTTAACCGCAAGATCCATTGAACTGCCTCAGGCTATATCTTGAAACTGGTCTAGTGTGCCTGTGGAGAATCGCGAGAACCTGAATTAGGGTAGGCCTTCTTAGGGCCTAAAGTTCAACCAGCGACCCTCGAGAATACTAAGCAGGAATGACACTCATTCAATATCACGATTTGTATAAGGATAAGTATACAGTCCTGCCGGTCACGGTAGCCCAGCGGTCTAAGGCATGTACTGTCTTCGCTCGCTTGGAAACCGGGATCGTGGGTTCGAATCACACTCAGGGCATGGATATTTAGTTTGTGTGTGTGTGTGTGCGTTTTTCTGTCTTTGTGTACATGTAGAGGCCTTGCGACGAGCTGATCACCCGCCCAAGGAGTCCTACCGAATGTGTAAGTTCTAGAAAAACCGAAGTGAACGGAGAAGTTGATGGAGGTAGGCCTAGGCCAACTGGGGCTGTAGTGCCAAGGAAAAAAAAAGTACACAGTCCCATTTCGCTTTTGGAGATAAGAAAACAACACTGTGAATAACGGGAAATGTGAAAATATTGCCTTAATTCTTATATATATATATATATATATATATGTCTATGGCTCTACAGCCCTCGTGGACCTTCGTCGCTTTCTCAGTTTCTTGATCTATACACAATCGGTAGAATTTCTTGGACGGGGAATCAGTCAGTTGCATGACAACAAAAACACAGAGAAATGCACATAGACATCCTTGCCTCAGTTTGGATTCGAACCCACGATCCCCGTGTTCGAGAGTGCGAAGGCCATTGTGATCTGCGTAATATTTACGTACAAATAAGCAACAAAATTCCAGACCAGTGGAAGCGGTGAAAGTACGTAGTAGGGAAATCCAATACATGTTATACACTTATTTGAAGGAACTAAGGAAACCCACAAAATAACCTTAGATCAAGGGTGTCCGGATCGAGATCCAAACCGGGTGCTTTCTGAATACCAAGAACAACTACTGGGTGAGTCGGGTAAAACAGGAACGCTTTAACTTATATTAGAGGAGAGCCGAGTTCGAATCTTAACCAGAACACTGAGTCTCTAGCTTGAGGGCTTTCGTAGAGTTTCCTCTCCAAGCAAATGACGGGATAATACCTCAAACTAGACGACACCTCTTCCTTCCATGTCATTTCCTATTCATTTTTCACTAACCATCAATATATTGGACGCTACAAAGTCGCAAGGAAAGAGAAATACGTATCCTGGTTGGCGTTCAGTTTATGCAAGGCCATGACTTTCCCTATATGCTGTTCGCTCTTTAGGCTTTCCGCGAAGAGCGCAGAAAAGAAAGCAGGTCATTGACACTTTATTGATCATGAAGTAAAGCCAGCAGATACTGGTAATATTCCAAGATAGGGCAAGGTCAATTGTGTAGAGAACTAAACTGCGTATAAAATCTGATATTCAGTGCTCGGCTCCCTGCTTGTTTTTGCTCTTTACTTATTTCATATGATTTCTACCTTGAAGAAGGAGGCGGTATATTCCTTCGAGATGTCATTTAACTCCTGTATATCTATAAGACGTCACATCTTACAAGATTATATATTTTAGATCCAGCTTATCTGAATATCATTGAAATGTTGACCTCCATATTGTGGCTGAAATATGTTATTCTGTACTTATACCCTTCTGCTATTAAATGGTGTAGATTAATTGGAGTATTTCGTGATGTCGTTGTGTGTCACGTAGAAATAATGATGACAGAATTGGTTCTGTTAGACGAGATTCAGTCCATTAGCGGTCGATTGAAAACATGCTCTGAAGAATAAGCAGTAATTTGGTCTTTAATCCTTATACTTAGCACGAAAAGGAAATTAACTCAATGGACGTGGTCATTAAGCTTTAACGCAAACTTAAATAGAATAATTTAGGATATATATCATTTAGTTTAACAGCCACTTACAGAAAGAACAATACCGTCTTCTGGGATGTGGGGCAGTGTAGATATTTTGCTAACCGACGTTTCGGAGGAATGTATCGCCTCCATCATCAGGGTATAAGAAATCCGCAGGCGACGAATAAGCGTAAGCACGTGTCTGTAGATAGTGGCAATACGCTCCTCCGAAACGTCGGTTAACAGAATATCTACGTGGTGCCACATCCCAGAAGCCGGCTCTCTCCATAGTCACCGCCGTGAAAACCTCAAATCTTACAACCGCTTACAGAATCAATTTTGGCGAATCACTGAAATTTGCTTCTATTGAGAACAGTCTACAATCACAGACGCATCGGGGACGTAAGAGTAAAAAACCTACAAGGTTTCAGTATTTCCATCTTTATAGTTTGTTTATTTAACGATGCTGTTAGTATCACACAATCTATGAAGGATATGAATGGATGTTAAACTAAGCGACCGTAAATTAATTAATAACTTTTAAATTAACACACGGTTAACTTATTGATACCCGAAGAAAGCCGTCTTCTTGGACATGGCCCCATGTAAATGGTGTGCATAGTGTTCCTCCAGGGGGAGGTTACCTATCGACACACAATATCTACAGGGCGCTACTTCCCAGAAGACGGCTCATAGTCACGCCGTGGAAACCTCAAATCTTACTTATTGATATCCGTATCACATTCTGCTCAGTAGCCTTTTTTTAGTTTCTTGGGGTGGGGTGGGCTGAGGCTGAGTCCACTTCGTACGTCGGCCACTATTTGGCCTAGTGTACCAGCCCCAGATGATAGATGATGAGTGTGGAACGGTAGGTGGAATGAAAATTGGCAGGGAAAACCGAAGTACTGGGAGAAAACCTGCCCTAGCGTGCTACTTTCTCCACCACAAATCCCACATGGCCTGACCTGGGCTCGAGCCCGAGCCGCCGGGGAGTAACCACCTGAACTACGGCACGACCTTTACAACGAAGTAACTTCCTCCTCCCTGAAGGCTTTGAAAGTTATGAGCACAGTTCATACTAACAGTACGGAACAAGTTAGTTCAAGCGGTGTGGCTTCTAAACTGTGTTTGGGAGGTATCCATTTCGAATTTCGGCCTAAACACTCCCCTGACTGGTGTTTTTCTTAATTTAACTCAGTCCCTGTAGGCAAATATCGGGGCAGTACCTTAACTAGGTCATTACCACTTTCTTCCCTATCTTTTTCCCCTTCATTATTCACTGTCATTCAGTCGGTCGACTCTACATAGTCTGAGATCCTGACAGCGTCGTTGAACAACCAAGGGCAACTAAGTATAACACCCAGAACACGTCACAGTGCGTCACAGTGCGGGTACTTCATTTTCATACTACGCAGTCATTAAGTTCGTGGAATGGCCGCAAAGCGCCGTACGGGAATTTATTACCAATATGTTTCAGCAATGTTTTCGGTAGCTATATCAACGTTGGCAGACTTGCATAGCGGCCAACGGCAACTATTCTGAGGGCCAATGTGGCTCTGCGCAAGTGTATGTAAATACCTTGTAATATGATGCGATAAAACCACATTCCACGAACTTAATGACTCTACCACGTGTAACTGTGATTATTGGATGATGATATGGCTAAATTGTTCTATACATATAATGGCATTGGAGCAGGGGTAGCGTATTCGGTGTGGCAACTGGCTACGAGCTGGACGACTGAGGGGTCGGAGTTCGAGTCCCGTTAGGGTCAAGAATTTTCTCTTCTCCAAATCATCCAGACCGGTTCTGGGATCCACGCAACCTCCTATCCAATTGGTACCGGGGGCTTTTACCCCGGGTAAAGAGGCAGGGGCGTGAAGCTGACCACTCACCTCCAACTAATGCCGAGGTCAAGAAAGTGTGGATCTTATACATCCACTCCCCCATACGCCTTCATGGCGGAATGCTTAATTTGTTGAGCACAGGGACAACTTTACCTTAACTTACATAATGGTATTACAGTTAGAATTTAAATTAATTTCCAATTGGTTCCGTCGGACATGTATCACAAACGGCGAAAAAGAAATGCATACAAGATTTAGAATGAAATACCTCGGGAGAATAGACAACTTGGAAAACAAAAATAATAATATTAAAATACATCTTACAGAAATAGGCTGTCAATGTGTGGACTGGATTTGGTTGCTCAGAAATTTACTCAATGACATGTATTTGTGAATACGGTAACAAATATTAGAACAAGAGGATTCTTGGTCCAGCTGAGTAACTATCAGTTTTTTAAAGCAGAATGTACATCATGCAGAAAATAATCAATTAATTGTACGTCAAACATGAATGACGAGATGTGATACAACTATCAGAGAGAAAAGTGGTTCTAATGGTTACATTTGTATTCGGGAGGTGCTCGGTTTGTATCTTGGCTGGGTTACCGATTCTTCTGACTGAGATTTTCAGTGGTTGTCTCAGTTTATTCAGAAAGAATGCCAGGGTAGTACCTCAAAATAAGCCTCAATAGTTTTACCTCCATTCTTACAAATTTATCTTTCTGTAATCTTCCTAAAATTCATCCCTATTTCCTTACGCCTATAGCTTGAGCTAACAAGGGCGTCTTTCAGTCAAACATAAATTACATGAAATAAATAAAAAGGGATATTTATTACGACATATTTTGCATATTTTTCCTTTTGAGATACTGCGAATGTGAATGATCATATGTAATGCAGATTTCATTAGAAGAATATATTCATCACTAACTGAAATGTAAAGAGACAGATCTTATTTACAAAAGCCAGATATCATATCTGATATCCGGATGACGCTCTGACGCTTTCTGTAACCCCTTCTTGGGGAGGGGGAGGACAAGGGAACTTCTTCACTTGCTGACAATGCTGCTTTGTTGAATCGTGAAACTCAGTTTGATAAGACCAACTATGAGCGTATCATAAAGGAGAAACAAGCCATTATCTCGGAAATCCGGGACCTGAGACTCTACACCAGGTATTTGCCCTGAGGTTCATATAGAGAAAAGACGAAATGGTGAACTTATACAGGTAGGTGTCATTTTACTCAGTTTGAGGTTTTTGTACGTTTATTTTCTTCGTTCTACATATTTTAGCTATTGTTCTGTGCTATTGAATTGTAGGGCCTGGAATCAAACCCGAACCTCTGGATATATAGCCAGGAACACTGACCACTAGACCACAGAGGCGGTCTTTTCTTTAATGAAGCTGTCAGTAAAATAAAACAGAATTATGGCGTCAAATGTTTGAATGGTAGTGAATAATGTGTTTGAAAGGATGTAGAAGAAAATGTCTTGGCCTAATTTAAGGTAGTGTCTCAGAATTTGTGTGGAGGGACTGAGAAAAATCGTGGAAAACCTTCAGGATAGTCGAAGTTCCGACGAAAATTCGAACTGTGCAAGTTCTCAGGTTAGGAACTTACTGTCTTACTATTTCAGTGCTTAATTGCGGCTTCAAACAGAAAAGAGAAATTGGCTTCAAAATACAGACAGATTCTTCCCAGAAGCTACAATTCAGACGACTTAACTAATCAGTAATTAGCTTATTAACTTCATATGTTAACAATTATTCTTATGTAATGGAACCTGTCACACGAGGCCTCCAGCCTACTCACTACAGAATAGTGCAAATGAGCATTCCTCTTCAAGTCAAAGTACACCATAACAATTTGCTGAATGTATTAGTACAGATGGCAAATAAAATAGGACTATATATTAAAAAAATGTAATGGAACCTGAAGATTTGAAGTTTGCTGTTAACAATGTCGCCGATCAAAATGGTCGAGCAGTCTAAGGCATGAAATATTTTCGCCCGCTCGAACACTGGGACCGTGGGTTCAAACCTCACTCAAAGCATGGATGTCTGTTTGTGTTTATTCTGTTTATGTGTTAGGCAGGCCGCGCCATAGCTGAAGCGGTTAGTCGCTGGATTCCCACCGCGGCGGCCCGGGTTCGATCTCGGGTCTGGTCAAGTGGGATTTGTGGTGGACAAAGTGGCGATGGGGCAGGTTTTCTCCGAGTACTTCGGTTTCCCCTGCCAATCTTCATCCCACCAATTGCTCCACAATCACCCTCACCTATCATCTGGGGCTGGTACAATAGGCCAGAAGTGGCCGCAGTGCAAGGGACTTAGTCCCACACCACTAGCAATAAAAAAATATTATGTAGCAGCCTTGCGACGGGCTGATCTCCCGTCCAATGTGTCTTGCCGACTGTCTTACATTAAGAAACTGAAGTGAAAAGATTTCACGGATGGCCTCTGCCCCTAGTGGGAGAAACAGGAATGGAAGGAAAAGAAGAACAAAGGCAGTCATTACACACGAGAAACACAACGCTAAAATACATACAGTGTTAACTGTTAATTCATACGTAGCATAACTCGTTTTCGTTGAGTCTTGAGTTATGCGATGTAGCAAGGCCACAGTTAACTCTTAAATCTACAATTACAAAACTTCAAGTGATGGACGGTGGGAGGGATAATTATTATGAGCCCCCCTCCCCTTGGCACTACAGCCCCAGTGGGCCTAGGCCTACCTCCATGAACTTCTTCGTTCACTTCGGTTTTTCTAGATCTCATACATTCGGTAGGACTCCTTGGGCGGGTGATCAGCTCGTCGCAAGGCCTCTACCTGTACAAAAAGACAGAAAAACGCACACACACAAACTAAACATCCATGCCCTGAGTGGGATTCGAATGCACGATCCCAGTTTCCAAGCGAGCGAAGACAGTACATGCCTTAGACCGCTCGGATACCGTGACCGGCCCAGCGTAATATTAGTATAATGAAAATAATATACAAATAAAGTGAAATGTATGCCATTTTGCCAGTTACAATTCCTGACACTGAGGTACATTTCACGGCCCAAAAATAGTTAGTCGGCATTTACTTTTGAGTTAATCACTCTACAGTTTGCGTTGTTTATGGCTGAAATTCTGGAAGCTTAGCCAGCGATCAAGTTACATGTCCCTTCTGTTTGTCCATTATTACAATAATATTTCTAAAATCATTTTGTCTGGTTTTTGTTAGTAATGTGAGACTTCTGTGTTTTGGAGACAGAATATGGAACTGTGATGGATTTTTAAATAATTTAATTGCGTTTTTCAAGTTTAATATATAATATTTTGACAGCGAATGAAAATAATATGAAGAAGATAATGGATTAGGTTATAATTATTAATTATGTTTCATGTGTCATGTTTAATTCTCTGTATTCAGCTAGACAGGCCAAGGACTGCCACAAAAATATTCAGTCATGACAGCATGAGATCTGATCAAGATTTGAAATAGGTTCCTCCTAAACAAAAGCCCAGAGCGCTATCGCTAATCCAGTCTGATAAGTAAATTGATTGATAGCAACTTTTTGTTTGTTTTCGTCAGAAATATAAGTTGTGTGAATGTTACAGGTGCAGTATGGTTCCCGGTGTGTTGTTAGCATTCGCAATCCTTCTGTCGGTTTGTGCTTCTGAAGGAGGCAAATGTATTGAAACTCGCTCATCTTCCATGAAGTTCTCAATTCTAAGTCACAGGAACAAAACAGGCCACTGGATAGCTCAGGTGAGAGACCGTTTAACAGCTTGAACCTACAGGTCCGCGTGCCATTCATTCAAACGGAACTGATCCATATTGTTACTCATATGACCATTGCTAGGCAACGGCTCAATAAACACATAACCGAATTTACGTTCTTAACGATAGAAAGACATTCGTTGCTGGGTAACGTACCGATAAACATTCATTCTTAAGAAAGTGTTTTCCATGGGGTCCATGCAGAGGAAATATAAGAGATCACAGAACCGATCATCCTGTCTTACCATTCCACGTTAAGTGACCGCTAACAACACAGCATCATTAAACAATACATCAGATAACAGGCCTATCTCTCACCAAGCAAGAAGCCTGAGAATAAAAAAATAAAGGGTTAATGCCGTGTGTTACCTAGTGCTTTGGAATTCAAACCATGGATAAAGGGAAATGTCGAATCATATAGCACTACGTAGATTTACAGACGAAAATAATACCATCTTTCTCTCGATTCCTTGTTTTATTTCTCATGCAGTGTATTTACTTTCATTTACCTATCCTTCCTAATTCCTTCTAATAACTACTGCAATACTACATTAGGCAGCAGAAATACTCACTCGAAATGTAATAAAACTTGAATATTTACATTAGAGTTTTGTAAAGTACAAGTCCTTTGGCGCTACAGCCCCAATTTGGACCTTGGCCTACCTCCGTGAAACTGTCCGTTTCACTTCGGTTTGTTACATCTTAAGGCGAGTCCACATTACTCGTGCTCGTACTCGTGTGACTCGCTATGCTCGCGAGTAATGTGGACGATATGGCAAGTCACGAGACAAGCAAACTTAAAATTTTTAATTTAAAAACTATAGCCAATATATTAAAATACGACTACAGCCTATACACACTACGAGTAAATATACGGATCCTCACGCGCTGAAGCCTGGCGAGCAACTGAAGTAGTGTGGACGAAGATTTACGAGCACAAGTAAAAGCCAGACGAGTCTCCCGACGAGCACAAGCCTGGCGAGCACGAGCACGAGTAATGTGGACACAAACATCTATGTCCTGAGTTAGATTCGAACTCACGATCGCGGCTTCCGAATGCAGTGAATGCCTTAGACCGCTCGGCTATCATGACCGGCTAAGTACAAGTTCTATTGAAATAATATTATCATGGAGACCGGGGCCGTGCCATAGCTCAAGCGGTTAGTCGCTGGCTTCCCACCGCGGAGGCCCAGGTTCGATCCCGGGTCTGGTCAAGTATGATTTGTAGTGGACTAAGTGGCGGTGAGGCAGATTTTCTCCGAGTACTTCGGTTTCCCCTGCCAATCTTCATTCCACCAATTGCTCCACAATCACCCTCACCTATCATCTGGGGCTGGTACAGTAGGCCAGAAGTGGCCGCAGTACAGGGGACTTAGTCCCACCCCATTAGCAAAAAAAAATAATTGAGACCGTGATTGGTAGTCAGTAGCATGATTACTGCTGACTATTTGTTGTAATCAAAATTTGTATGATGACTAGCAGTGACACATAAAACAGCAGTACGATAGGTATGAACTATTATGAGGTCTAAGTATTTCGAAACCTGACATACACTTCTTCAGTGGGTAATACTTTGAGGACTGTCCCTAATTTAATTCAATAAGTTTTCGTTTTCCTCATGTTCAGGTAGGACTGCAACATGGTGGAAATGAAGCAGACAAGGGACCGTCATGGGAAGTGGATCTGGAACACACCGTCACTTCTTGCGACAGCCATGATTCCATCGATATAAAGGCGACTTTAACAGGTACGAAAGCAGGCGAACTCGTACTGAGCAGGTTACATCAGCGACAGCGCCTCTTATTTTTGTTTTGAAGGCTCTTGGTTCGAATTTAGAAGGAGGCATCGGTTTTGCCGAAGATATTTAATGATTTATACACCTTCCTCAGACGTATCAGAATTTAGTACATTATTCATAAATGTCCCAGCTTAATCTTTAGAGCTAAATATCTCTATAGGTTAGAAGAAGGTTTTAATAAATTAATTTAAAATTTACGATACCAACCAGTGTTTCACCGTTTTTCATGGTTATTTGCTTAAGCCTTATTTAACGATGTATTCACTGGGCAAGCTTATGCAGCGTTTATTAATAGGATGATTGGTGAGTAATTGTTTGAAAAGAATGTGGAAGAAACAAGTCGTGGCCTAATTTACCGTACCATCCCGGTATCTGTCTGGAGGTTTTGTGGGTAACCAGGGAATAATTCAGACAGAACAGCTGGTTTCCGGGCCGAGATTTGAACTTGGGTCTCCCGAATACGATGCAGGGGTACCACCAACGGACCAACCAGTTATTTTTTCTTCTACCTTCCAAGGATTAAGATCAAGTTTTTTCCAACTTTATAGATAATTGCTGGGGCACGCGGTAGTATAGTTAGTTGAGGCACTATGCTACAAGCCGGAAGGTTGCTGGTTCGATTCCCTATGAGGTAAATGGATTTTTTCAATTTACCTAATCTTTCCAGCCGCATTGTAGCGCTGGAGCTGACTCAGTCTCTGACAGAAATGGGCACCACTTCAGGGGGGGGGGNAGATGATAGGTGAGGGTGATTGTGGAGCAATTGGTGGAATGAAGATTGACAGGAGAAACCGAAGCACTCGGAGAAAACTTGCCCAGCGCCACTTTGTCCACCACAAATCCCACTTGACGAGATCTGGGATCGAACCCGGGCCCCCGCGATGGGATGCCAGCGGCTAACCGCTTGAGCTATGGCCCGTTCATGGCCTGTTACTGGGATAGCTTTCCCTTTAAAGATAATTGTTGGAAGGTCTTCCTCTTCGTATAGGCGTGTTAGATTCCCAGGAAGAACCTCTGTGAGGTTAGTTAGTTTTTAATTAGTAACGTTTTTCTTCCAAAGAGACGAGGATTTTCAGACGAAGAATTACACGTTTCCGCGGCATTTTCTGAATACAAAATTTTCTTTCTTACTTTGAAGGAAGAGAACTGAAAGTATTTGAAAACAAAGCGCTGAAGAGAATGTGCGCACTAAGACAGATAAAATGGTAAAAGAAGTGATAACAATTACGGGGCTGGATAAGGCTTTCTGTCTTTATACCTTCAAACTACTGATTCAGAATGCTTAATCGCTAGACTGCTGGGTTTTTAATGAATACACGTAGTTTTGTACAGTTGAAGGCTGGTGCATAATTTTGATTGAAAAATGGCATAAATATGAGATGGGCGGGGTATATAACACGCATGGGAATAAAGGGAATGCATATAGGAATTTGGTGGGAAGACCAGAAGGAAAGAAACAGGCAGGAAGACGAAGACGCAGGTGGGAGGATAATATTAAAATTGATGTTGGAAATATAGGACAGAACGGTATGGAATGGGTTTATCTGGCTCAGGATAGGGTCCAGTGGAGAACTCTTGAGCAGGGTACACGCTGAACCTACGAGTTCCATAATATTTCGGGAAATTCTTGAGTGTCTGAGCGAACGGCGGATTCCCAAGAAGGGATAGTTAGAAAAATTACAGATATCTTCAGGTGGCAGCCGATGTTAAATATTATATTCAATGGAATAAAACTTTGGATTTCAGAAGAGAAGTATCGTGGGTTATGATAGTAGCATGAAAGGGGATAAACTGAGGCGATTGCGGATGAATATGTAGTGCAAATGAAGGGCAAGAAAGAAGCTTATAGATATGAAGCTCCTGTTATTCCTGTGATTCGCAAAGACAAGGGTTGAAGCATAATGTTGAAACTGGTAGAGCGAATGCAAAACGGATTGAACTAGCAGGATGGTGAGATCCTCCAATCCCCTGATAAACAGAAGACTCATTTGATTTCCTTGCGCAGAACCTGTAATTACTAGGGTTGCAGTTGGGACGCTATTTTACAGTTAATTAAAAGAAAACATATTTAACTTAGAACGACAAAGACCCTAATTAGTAATAAATTTGCTTTGAGAGACATATTTATTGTTCCGTTGTCGATTTAAAGTTTTTCTGAGGCCTTGATATACTAAAATACGGACTAATTATCTTCGGATAAATTTTTATCGATTAATACTTTTGAAAATTTACTCTAAAATTTCATATATTAAAACGGGTGTCCTTAAGAAGTTCACAAAATTGAGGCTTTAGAACCTGTGGATATATTTGTCACATGAGCTGATTCACCGAAACCCCCATCAGAAATATTAACATGAGACTACAGGTAATTCACTACTTTGCAGCACCGCCTGATTTGCCTACGCCTGGATACGAACTCTTTCCTCTTATGGGCTATTACAAGTTTCATCCCATTGGGCTCACCTGGAGAGATGCTCTGCGGGTCTGCGCACAAGAAGGGGCTCATCTAGCCGTTATAAATTCGCAAGAGGAAGCTAACCTCATCAAAAGCTTGTACGACTTGCATCCCAAAGTGCAGAATTCCGCAGACAACAATAACGCCTTCCTCGGATACCATGACTTTTACATCGAGGGACAATTTGAAACTATATTTGGTAATTCTAACAAAGGAGTTGATATTCATTCCTGTTCTAATAACCTAAATTTTAATCTTCAAAAGATGATCACGTAAAGAAATATTAAAGAAAAGAAAATAGGTGCACTCAAATTTCCAATGAGAGTATTTTACAAATACATTTCTTACGTTTCATAAATTTCATTGGCTTTAATGTTCATTCATCTCAAATAAAGATCTAGGAATATTTTTCTTCTACTTCGTAAAATATTCACCATATCGTAAATGTGTTTCGAATAAAAGCTGTAAATCTCGATACACTCGAGGGGCAAGTGGTTATCGATTGACCCTCTACAAATATTTGACCATATAATTTATATTGTTTACATTTTGTGGCGTTTATAGGTGTCCTTCTGTTTGAGATGGGCAGTTTAATAGTACGACATATCATTACAAAAACCAACTGAACTGTTAAACTATCTACGGGTCTACATCTGTTGTGGACCTCGGTCAATTTTTCAGTTTTTGAATCTATACACAATTGATAGGACTCCTTGAACGTGGATCAGCACGTCGCAAGACAGCTACCTACAGCACGTCGCAAGACAGCTACCTACAAACAGAACAACTCAAACACATAATAAACGCACATAGACATCCATACCTATAGTGAGATTCGAACTCACGATGTTCAAGAAGGGGAAAACGGGTCATGCCTCAGACAGCGTGACCACTCTGATCGGCAAACCAATTGGACTAGATTATATTTTATAGGGATATTTGAATTCAGCCGGCAGCTCATCGAAAGAAGTTAGGTTCGGTGATGTGACCACTGTGTCGTCTTCAACGAACCATGTAAACTGAGTAACATAAGAGTTGTTAAGGCAGTAAGAACATAAAGTTACATTATGTTAAAAGAGACAGGAGTACTTTATAGTGAGGTTGATTGGGTTATACAAAATGAAATAAGAATTTGCGTTATTAGGTTAGAAAATAAAACAAAGAAAGAAGTCAGGTTAAGACCTCGAAACCTGGAAAAAGTTTTGTCCCTTTCGAAATTAAAAAAAAAAAAACATGATTAAGGTGCAAATGTAAACAAAACAGGGTGTCACATTCTTCAATAAATTTAGAATTAAGTTTAAAATTTTCCATGTGGAAAATAAAAAAAAAAGAACTTTTCCCCAATTTTTACCCTTGCGCAGTAGCCGTGAACCCACTCAGTGCGTGTCATGTACCTAATCATATGATTCCAAACTTGTCTCTTCTATCTTCAAATTGTGACTCATTAGTCCCTTTCGAATATCATACGGACGATTTTCGATGCTGGGGCACGCGGTAGCGTAAGTGGTTGAGGCACTGTGCTTCAAGCCGGAAGGTCGCGGGTTCAAGTCCCGATTAGTTGGATTTTTTCAATTTACCTAATCCTTCCAGCCGCATTATGGCCCTGGAATTGACTCAGACTCTAACAGAAATGAGTACCAGGAATCTTCCTGGGGGTAGAGGGCGGCAGGCGGTAAAGCTGACAACCTGACCGCCATCTGTGAGCCAATTCTCTAGAAAATATGGGAAACTCGACGTCTCACAAACTTATAGGCATCCACGGTCTGTTACAGAGATAAATTTACCTATATTTGATACTGGCAATGATTCTTCCTTTTTTTCGTACGTTCTTGTCATCGAAGAATCTTTTCAGTGGGAATTTGGGGACGGAATACTCGTATATTCGTGCTACTGCATTTAGATCCATATTCTCGGACGGACACAACATCCTACCCAGTATCAAATGCAAGTCTTAGGATTAGTTCACTTGAAAAACCGAATTACTTCATTGGGATTCCATCCCGCGACCCTCCGGCTTGTAGCATAGTGCTTCGAGTAACTACGCTACCGCGTACCCTTTATCAAGCCATATCCAATGTAGAAATCTTTCATCACCGTGGTCACTATAAAATATGTGGTTTCATACTTATTTCCGCAAAAAAAAAGTGTATTTTTACGAAGGAAATTGCAGAGAAATAAATTGTCTCGAACTCAAACCCGTCCATGTAACAGAAAAATTTAATTTTCTCATGACTTTCTCTCATAGAGGCATACTTTCTTTTTTCTACAAGCATTTACCATGTCTTCCATGACACACTGTTTCGAAGAAAGATCAATGCGGACAGAAAAAAGGGAAGATAGAAAGACAGATGGACATTAGCTATTTTGTACTATTAAACAGAGATTAACCAGTAGGTATGAATGTGTGTACGGAAGAAGCAATCTATTTACTCCGACATAGGAATTTAATCTGTAAATGTTAATTTACGTCAGGTTCTTGCTTCAAAGTGCTAAAAATACGATGGACTCAGTAAATAAAACAATTTATGTGGTGTCTGTATGCACCAGGACAGTCTCTGAACACCACGGGGTATAAGAACTTCACACCTGGACAGCCGAACAATGCTCCAGTGGGCACAGATCCTGAGCAAGACTGCGGGGGAGTGACGCGCGCAGGCCTGCTGAACGACCTGCCATGCAACAGCCGCTATGCCTTCTTCTGCGAGATGGAACTGCCCAAGTGAGAGCTCGAAGAATCTAAAATAGTGGACAAAGATTTATGTTTCAGTATTTGTTCCCGTCCCATATTTGTGTTATTTAGAAAATCACCGCTTTTAAAGAGTGCTTACTCCTTAATATTGCATCCATTACTATTATACTGTGGGGCATGGGGTAGCGTAGTTGGATGAGGCACTATGCTACAAGCCGGATGGACGCCGGATCGAATCCATCGGATTTTTTCAATTGACCTAATCATTGCAGCCGCACTATGGCCCAGGGGTCAACTCAGCCTCTAACAGAAATGATTACCAGAAATTTTCCTGGCGAATAAAGCGCGGGCGGCGTATAAAGCTAAGGTCACGGCCATCTGCGAGCCGATTGTCTAGAGAAAATGTGGGAGCCTCCACCTCTCACACCCTTATGGACCTTCGTGGCTTGTTACAGGGTAGCTTTACCTTTTTAGTATATACTATTCATTTATTATCGCTTCATATAAAAGAAACTGAAATGTAACGGTGAGATAAAAGCCCTGAATTACGAAATTTCGAGTTCCCATATAAACAAAACTTAGCTTGTTGCATGAACGTAACTTACATAAGTATAATGGGCCACGAACGAGAGAGTAGTATTTTTTTTCAATATCCCATGTTCATAATGGTAAACCTTTTATGTGGGTATGTGAAATGTACCTAGTATTTGTCATGCAATGTGACTTACTTCCATTTAATTGTTTACATCACGATCGTCGACTCAACAAGTTGTATGGGAATATCTTCAATAAAGACAATAGGTATTGGTATATATCTTACTTGTTTAACATAAGAGTAACTGTGCTACATGTTTCGACCACATGATTAGTTCATCCTCAGGCACCCATGAACATAACTTAAGTGATTAAAATTGGTTATAATATGCATCCGTATTCTTGTTGTCTTGAGAAGACATTATCTGAATGTAGGAAAAGGTTATATGCCATGCTATTTTAAAGATACTCTATAATATTCAGGAAAACTGAAGTAATTATACTATTCTAATGTAAAAGTTCCCTCTAAAATTAAGGAAAATTGATGTATGCCCTTTCTTCACTGGCTATACAGTCCCCTTGGGATCTGGCCTCAGATTTTTCAGTTTCATAATCATTTTTACAGACGGTAGGACTCCTTGGACGAGTGATCAGCTTGTCGAAAAGCCTCTACCTAAACACAGGATATATAAACACAGAATGAACACATAAACATCCATGCCTTGTGTGGGACTCAAACCCACGATCCCGGCTTCAGAGCAAGCGAAGACAGTGCATGCCTTAGACCGCCCGGCCACCGTGACCGGCCTGATTTAAATATGAACCTAATATTCATATGCTACTGAATGAACGAACTGAAAATGAGAATTTCCGGCCCCTAGACAAAGTATCTGCATCATGCTTCCTTTCTTTTCTTTAATTCCGTGGGGTGGGGCGAGACTGAGTCCTCTTGGTACGTCGGCCTATTGTACCAGCCCCGGATGATAGTTGAACATGCAACAGTTGGTGGAAGGAGAATTGGCAGGCGAAACCGAAATGCTCGGAGGAAACATGCCCCAGCGCCACTTTGTCCACCACAAATCTCAAATGACTTTCCCTGGGATCGAACTAGGGCCGCCGTGGCGACTTACCGCCTGAACTATGGCAAGGCCATACATCTGCATCACAGGACATTCATTGCAGAAGTCTTATATAACGAAGGCATAAAGACACACTAGGCGACCTTGCTGAATATCGCGAGGTTTTTAACCCGAACCACCACTTTACACCTGTCGGTTTACAGACACTGGATATGGCTGTCTACAAGAGATGGCGGCAGAAACTGCTGTAACTCTCTGTGGGTTACTTTGTCCAACTTCGAATAGTGAGCTGATTGTTGAATAAGGAACTTGAAGGAATTTGAAAAGAAACAATCATGGCATAATCGAGGTAATATTCAGATATATGCTGGGGAGACTGAGAAAACCCACGAAGAAGCCCAGCGTTCCGGCAGAGTTTCAAACGGAGTACCTCCCGAATTTAAGATTAGGGCGTTGCCGCTATACTGACCTGCTCGATCAAACTGCTATAATAATCATGTCATCGCGTGCTAACTTACTTACTTACTTACTTATGGAGCTGAGTCATTCTGGGGGAGCCGCCAAATCTGCAGTACTCAAGAATTTCCCAGCATCTTATGGAACCTGAAGGTTCATTAGCGTGTTCACAAGAGCCCTCCACTTGTCTCTATCCTGAGCCAGATCAATCCAATCCATACCATTCCATCCTATCTCTCTAAGATCCATTTTAATACTGTCCACCCACCTACGCCTTGGTCTTCCTTTTGTCTTTCCCACCGTTATTCTATATGCATTCCTCGTCTCCACCATCCGTGCTATGTGCCCTGCCCACCTCATCCTCCTTGACTTGATCATTCTAATAATACTTGGAGAAGAGTATAAGTTATGAAGCTCCTCATTATACAGTTTTCTCCAACCTCCTGACATTCCATCCATCTTCGGTCCAAATATTCTCCTCAGCGCCCTGTTGTCCTTGCCCTCAGTCTGTCTTCCTCCCTTAATGTCAGAGACCACGTTTCACAGCCATACGGAACCATACATGTCGTGGTGTAGGAATATTATTTTAGCGAATTTTATAAACCACTCTTCTTTAAAAGGGATATTACGTCATTCTAGCACGGAAAGGCCAAATCCTGTTCCGGAGGTGAGGTTGGGGGAGGTGCAAAAAGCCAGTTTTAATACGAGGAGCTGAAGTGAGTTGTTTACTATTGTCGTGAAGCAATCCCATTGCTCCGAGCTAACTCTGCACTCAGTCCAACAGAAGCGAGGGCCATCATCATGACAAAGGGAAGAAGATCGTTGGTGAGTGTTCACAGATTTTCGTGTATCATATAAGTACGAGTGAAGGGATTGTCTGGCTGATTGCAAGCAGTGTGAGTAATTTCTGATGTAGAACTTAGGTTTAGAAACTGTAAATAAACAACTATTTTTCTTAACTTTTGGATTTATATGACTAACTTTTCTTCCGTTTCTCTTCATTTCCAGAAATAAAAAAATATGTGTATTATATGAAAGACTAATTCAACATTTCAAAGTAAAATCATTTGGTTACAGCTGGTATCTTCAGATACAGGTAGTAAAGTATATAATTTGAAAGAGGTTACACAGTGGTTTTTATGTAAACAATATTTATTTTCGAACCTATTCATATGAATCTACAATGAAAGATACCGAGCTTGTAGTTAAGTAAGTGTACCAGATTGCTCCCGTTGTTTCAGGGACAGGTTTCTACGAGAGAAAAATTGTACATTTTGAAAGGCGAAATTCAATTAATATTTAACGTATCATTATTTTGGGGTTTGGAACAAAAATGGGCTATCCCTGTAACAGGTTGTGGAGGCATATATGGCTGTGAGACGTCTTTCTAGAAAATCGGCTCACAGATGGCGGTGTTGTCTGCCTTATGTGCCGGTCGCCCTTTACCCCCGAGGAAGATTCCTGGTACTCATTTATGCTAGAGGCTGCGTCGACCCCACGGACGTATTGCTGCTGGAAGGATTACGTCAATTGAAAAATCCAATGAGAACATCAGGAATCGAACGTGCGACCTTCCGGCTTGTAGCATTAGATTGCTAATATCTGCAGCTCTTAAAATAGATTTTTCAAAAAGTTACATCTAAACTTACTTACCCCACCTTTTTATGCTAATGAAATAAAGGAAAAATTAAAGAAGGTATTAATTGTTACGACTTACAAATTATATTGGTCTTAATTTCTTTGGATGTGGACCACTGTTTTCTCCATGCCACAAACGAGTGAGCGAATCTTAAGTGCCATCTCCAGAGCTCCAAGTATGTCTCCAAGTCTTCAGTTTAAACTTTCCCATTCGTCGCTGGTTACCAGGCAATCCTATTTCTCAGTCTCTACTTTTAATCATAAACTGTACTTGCATGTTTCAGCTAGATGTTCACCCTGTGTTGCTTCTTCTGTATCAGCCCCTCTGCTTCTCACCATCCTCCCATTTGAGCTGGCTTCTGACCATCTGTTATGCTATTAGATAAGATTCATCAGCACGTAAGCAATCAATTTCTGTCACAACTTCCACCGTGTTCTTTGTCCAGCTATGTTACTTCCATTGTTCCTACGGCAGAAGTTCCAATGTTTGGATAACACATTCATATCTACTTCTTTCAGTGTATATTGAAGCGACTGACGCAATATCATTCAGTGAAGAGTGTCCTTTCTGCTTCGCCGAACCACAAAAACACCTGCAATAGCCGATTGCCATCACTAAGGAACTGTTTCTACACCTGCGACCCTCATATATTACGGTCAACTCACTAGTACTGCTCACATCAGAGACAATTATGTTTTCGAGATCGAAGTTGGACGTGGAAAGGAAAAGAATATTAAAACGCGAAATGATTCGACAAATATCTCCAATATATATCATGCCATACATTAATATACACATCATCATCATCATCATCATCATCATCATCATCATCATCAGTAATCTGTCAGACGACAGGTCCACAGTCTCTTCAAAAACAATTCCTCCACTTAATGCGATCTAGAGCTTTCTCCTTCAAATGACAGTATCCTCTTCTGTCCCCAAGGTCATCCAGCAACTTCTTACGTCTTCTTGTCACTTCTATCCGCCCCTCTATCTTTCAAATATACACAATTATTCAGAAAATTAATTTATATTTATTTGAAATGAAATTTTAGAATTCGTAATATTGTATCTATTGATAAATACATTTATTTTGCACTCAATAAATTTTCAATATTTTTGGGCTTCGTAATTGGGATGGAATTTTAGCTCACACAAACCTTGCATTTCTCATATATACGAGTATTTACAACCTTAGAAGCATTTTCAATCGGGAACAATGTTTTCAGTTATAAGCATCAGATTCCCCGTAAGCAGTGGCTAAATAAACAAGCTATTTAAAGAGCTTCTAGTGGAAGGAACGTATTCCATGTCAGTATGAAGGTGGCACCTAACTTTCCTTGTCTTTGTATATTTAAAGCAAGTGTCACGTACAAACAACTGGCTGCCTGTCGCTTCTCACACTCTCGAAACCACCCCCTTGTCTAAAATTTTTCTTCTGCGTATTCAAGGTTACTCTTGGTCTTGTGCGAAGTTACGTGACACTTGCTTTAATTACCACCAAATTTCCTTCGAAAATTAAACTTCTTATTCCCAGCCATATTCATACTACATGAACTGTTCTATATATTGATAATTTTAAAATTAATCAATAAAATAGCCATGATATGTATTTATGCTAACCGTCTTACAGTGCACACTTTTTATTTAATTTCACCTTTCTCTTCACTTTTACACTACATGTTTCAGCACTAATGCGCCATCTTCAAGTGTGTCTCTATGCACGTCAAACCTGAAGATGGCACATTAGTACTGAAACATATAGTGAAACTGTGAAGAGAAAGATGAAATTAAATAAAAACTGTGCGCTGTAAGACGGTTAGCATAAATACACATCATGGACATGAACCAGTGCAACAGTACGCTAAAATATAACATTAATAAAATAGCCCTTAAATACAATAATATTGCCACTATGTCCATGTTAGTATTGACATATCAGGGTACGAAACATGAAGATACCAATATTAGTCTCCTTCTAACAAATGTTTTCTTGGCATCTCAATCTTCATATGAAGAAACTGATGTCATGAAGTGATTACCAATGCACAAAATATTATTCAGGAAAGGGCGCGGTTCAGATGCAAAGATTTATGAAGAGCGCTTTTGATGCCATGAAGTGTAGTGTAGGGTGTTTTTCATGTCTCTCTGACCATATATTTCATTCCGGAATCTGCAAAGCAGCATTTGATTAAATTTGAAATTGAGGATGTAAACTGCAGCTCGTATGCAAGCAAAATATTTGGTTCTTATCGGTCAAATAAAATTCCTAATCTAATCGCAGATCAAAAGCAAATTCGTGGGTATTAAAGAAAACAGCGTACAGTTCACAAATTAGAATACGCGACATAGATTAGTTAAAATCTAAATTTTTTATAAAGAGTCTTCGGAATACTTAATATTTGATAAAATATAAGTAAAAATTATTGTGACTCAGTGCAGAATATCTGTAATGTGACTGGTTTTGTGAACCTGGATTTGTATACGAATGTGAACATCAGACCAATGAAGAAGGCATGATTGCAACGGACGTATTTGGGAAGTATCCACACACACAACTGAATCGAAGTAGACTCTATATGTCCATTCTTCCTTTAAATTAGACTGGTCTATTCATAAAAGGGTGGAGAATTTCAAGCGAATTACTTTTTGAGATGTTATATTGAGTGCTATGGTATAAGTTTACTGAGATTCAAAGAAATATTCCGCATCCATCTTCAGAGTAAAAGACAAATCAAGTAAGCAAGAAAGTAGACAGCAACCAGGGTACTTTGATGCCATCTGATTGGTTTACCCTTTAACTCTAAAGATACAGGAAGTAAGTTCCTCCGAAATGTCAATAAACTTCTACCAGACTAAACGGGGTAACGTTTCGGAAAACCTTTGTGCTCAGAGACACAGCCACGAGAACCTCAAATCCCACATAACGAAGAATTTCTTGTGAAACGGAAGGATTTTTAACTTCTCAAGATAGAATGTAAAGAATGGAGTTAGTTATGAATGAATATTTTATTGTTGCAGATGATTTCCTCGCTTTTCTTATACCTGCTGATGTTGTGCCTGCAACATACGCCCCTGGCACATTCCTCCATTAGCAGCAACAACGACACGTGCAACCTGACGTTAGTGAGAAACTTGTGTGAACTGGATCTCTTGAACAGAAGCACGGATAGCATAAGCGAGGAAGTTACAAGAACTGCACAGTGTTTTGTTAAAGAACCAGAACTCAATTTAAACGTTAGTCACAGCGAGAGTGAAGATTTAGACCAAGCATTTGCCTGTCTGGCTACGGACATTCAGAGAATACTCAAATGCAGTGAAAGTGTCGTAGCGCCTGATACGTATATAATGAAATTGTTCTTCGATGGTACTTTGGATGACGAAGTGAACAATACGAATCTCTATCGACATGGCTGTATGCTTTGCTTCACTGCACAGTTTTACATGATACTCTTGAACAGTATGACAGCTATAAATTATGACACAAAAATATGTGAGTTCGCCGGAAGTCAGTCATTGAACATCACACTTTGGTATCAACTAACAGAAGAAGTACAAACATTTGTTTATGAATTAAATGTCATGAAACAAATTAGATCATACGATAATTTCAAGAACGTTTCAACAAGTCCTTGGTTTGAAAACTTTCTCGATATTGAAACTTGGAGAAACTATGAATTCAACGTGAGAACGTACATAATGAGTTTGATGGACGATCCAGAGTCTGAGCTTGGTGATAACGTGATGATTCTCATACTCTTCCTTCATGGAACACTATTTCTAATCGGTTTCATCGGCAACGTAATTCTTTTCTTAATTTTCGCTCGACATAGGGAAATGCTTTCATCTAATAATGTTATTATACTTAATCTTGCTATTGGCGACAGTTTCTCCCTTATATGCAATATCATAGTTTCATATATGTACAATTTATCTGGTTCCATGGTAGTGGGCTTCTTGGTCTGCCTGTCAATCACACTCTTCATCCCACTGAGTACTGGGATATGTGTTTACTCTGTGACAATGTTAAGTATTCAGAGATATTTTGCACTTACTCATATGGGGAAGGACCGCGGATGTAGAATTCTCAGACGCTTCAGCTCTGTCCTCTTCATATGTACTATATGGGTCCTAGCATGTGCATCTGCTGTTCCTCAGTTTCTGAAGACGGAGTTCTATGAAGATTACTGCACTGTTGAACTTACAGACTTTGTTACACTGTTCAACGTTGTAGTGTATTGTGTCATACCTCTCCTTCTCATGGCAACATTTTCTACAGCAACTTCATGGAAAATGAGACAGAGCGTCCAGAAAATGCCCGGTGAAGTTCTGGGTCAGCAGAAAGCCAGAAATGCCCGTACAAGGAGTGCAAATATACTTATAGGCTTAATTGTCGTTTTTGCAATCAGCTATGTTCCATATTATCTCTTTTTGTTTGCGTATAAATATTTTAACTTGGAGAAAATCGGCTTCAATCAAATGTTCATAATTTCATACTCTCTGATCTTTGTGAATTCTTGTTGTAATCCAATAGCCCTGTATGCCGCGAGTGGAAATTTTAGACAGTATTTTAACCGGTATCTGCTATGGTTCTGTCGTTTTAGATTAAAATGCTGCAGAAGAAAAGATGACGGCGAATCAGTTTCCCAGACTACCCAGAAATCTTCTATTAATTCTTCAAGCCTTTAGACTTGAAGAATTATGAGAGGAACTTATGTTTTAGTTTGATTTTATTTCTTATGGTACAATTTTAATCAGGGTTTGAAATTATGTTCCAAGACTTTTTACTGTAGAGGATGTTTTTGGATACAATATCCAATTTAAAGGTAAATAATCATGTTTCATTAAAATTCCATAATTTTTTATAATTGCTGGAACAACATATTTACTAATGCAATTGCCAAGACAACTAAAAAAACTATCCCTGTAACAGGCCGTGGAGGCCCATAGGGTTGTGAGACGTCGAGGCTCCCACATTTTTTAGATAATTGGCTCACAGATGAAGGTGAGTATTCAGCCTTATGAGCCGAGTCAAGACAACTAACAGAGTTTTAATTACATAGGGTAATAATTCTTAAGAACGGTAACACCATTCAATATTACAAGTCATTAGTAACAATAAACATTAAATAATCATTGTCAGGTTGGATAATTTTTTACCACCACTCTATTATTCCCACTTTAACAACTGCAATCTTACATTAGTCAAATATTTGTGTTATGATGTTTCAGATTCATTCAAAATTCATTTTTCTGAGCAATTGTAAATATTGAAAATTTATATACCCTTGAAACAACATTATCCCGCGTAGCCGTAATACTTATAGTAATGTAATTTCTACAAGAATCGTTTTCTTATTGTAAGATGAATTAGAGGCTGTCCTCAGTTTACATTCAAACTGTTTAATATAAAACTCCAAAATATTTGCCGTAAAATGTTACAACTTTTTCCTCGATTGTCGTTTGTTTTTTAATAAGGTTGTATATTCTGAAGGCAATATAGGCTTTTGGTTCATAGATTAAATGTAATCGTTTTGTGTAATAATCTTCAAATGTTCACCCAACACTTCATCCTCCACCAAGTTGATATACATCCGGATGGAATTCAGATCTCGAACCCAGTGATATACTTATATAAAACGTGTGGGTAACCATGCTCTTGAATCCACTCTAAAATCCATTACAACTACAATTATATGTTTTATAGGAGTAGAAATTTGTATCCTGGAAGATAAAAGAAATGGAAACTGTTTCAGAATGTTCCTCTTTCTGTTTGCAACTTAACTGTTACGATGGGAAGACAAGGAAAATGAAAATTCTAGCAGAGAAAATATAACGAATCTCTTTTATTTCTAATACTGCTCCAGAGGGGTGAAATATATGTGAAAGTATTTCATTTTCGAAACTACTGTCGGGAGGAAAATGTGATAGAACTAAAAATGTTTAAGTAATATATATATATATATATACCCGTATGTGTGTGTGTGTGTTAAATTACGAACATATAATACTGCAGAATCTGTAATATTTACGACTGTATCTTCTGAAATATGTTCACGTGAAATTCATCTTCTGAACCGAGAGAAAGAAATAAGATCAGCTCCAACAGTAGCATCACAGCAATAATAGTGACAATGATGATGTGATGATGATGATAATGATAATCAGTATTTAGATTTCAGTGCATTTGTGGGGATATATATAGTATATATGTAGTACTAAAGCCTTATCGTGGAGAGGAGGTTTGCGTGGCCCTACTACCCGCATAGTTATGCTGGTGAGAGCGTCAGCTCCTGCTAGGGCGACCCATGTCAAACCGGTCAAAAGGTAGGGGCCAGACGAAGCATAGTGCCTGATCCTTTGGGTTGGGGTTTTAGCGCGGGCCTAATGACCCAACCCCGGGAAATATTTACTGCTACGAAACCACCACAGCCTATGGAGGAGGCTAAGTCCCACACAAGGAGGTAGCGCCAGTGAAGAACATATCTATGCAATCTCGTATAAAATTAAATAAAGTAGAAGGTAACTATTTTAGGGCAGTGAATAATATTTATGTACATTGTGTATGTGTTTCTTTAGTCCACTTTTAACTGAACCGTTTACATAACATTCTCAAGACCACAACGCTTCTTTCAACACCCGGTCTTGGAAATTCCGGCTGCAATTTCAGTGCCAGTCAAGGTCAGGAACTTGAGAACAAAGATGAATCTGAATCCTGCTGGCCAAGAGGATCCCACACGCTGCCATAATGCTAGCCTTCTGAACTCCCCCCCCCCCC